CTGGAGTTCTCTCTTGTAAAGTACAGAAAATGCTATTAAAAATAAACTAATTCAGTGTTTAAAATGTGGCTTAACTGAATGCTAGTACCTACAGCACTGGTTCTCAGCCAGGATTCCTGTGCCCCCAGATCCTTTGAAGGATGACATGAGCTGTGAGAAGATAAGCAGATAAGCTAAGTATATACAAGGGCAGGCTCAGGCTTGTCCCTGCCTGAACAATCCCTCACCTCCACTGCCCAGCCCCTCTGTCCATACGGTGCCATGCTTTAATACTTCCTCTTGGAGATAGGAAGTACTAAAGCATGGCACCGTATGGACTGTTACTGCGCCGTGTGGGTGGCGCATACTTAGATTTTGCAGCTACGTTGCTGTAGCAGCGGCACTATAGCTGGCAAGCGCACCACTATGGCAGCATAGCTGATGATCACATGTAGACACATGTGATCACTACACTGCTGTAGAGCGCCGTACAGTGACGTATAGATGCGCCCAGTTATACTAAATGATTCTTCTCCAGACTGGGATGCCTTGGTTTGCACATGTAGTGGCTTATGCTTACTGGTGCGTATCTAGGGTGGCCATCATAGAGGACTGTCCGGTTGTCCTCTGTCCTTGATACAAAACCCGATGCCTTTATGCCTTTCTTTAAGAGAAAAATAGAGGACATAAAGGTGTCGGGTTTCGTATCGAGAGAGGACGGAGGACAGACTAGCAGAAAACTGGAATGTCCTCTATGATGGCCACCCTATGCATATCATGTAGGAGATAGGAAGTACTAAAGCATGGCACTGTACAACGTTGTGCAGCAACGTGTAAATGCACCCACTGATGATACTTTAACTAGGATTAAAATGAGGAGAGAGAAAAGAATTATTAGAAGGGCAAGTTCTCTGACAGGATATTTATTCAGTGGCAGATTAATCTGTCAAGGGAACAAGTCTTATTGCTTGAGCCTTTTTTTAAAGTAAACTGGGTAAAGCACTAGATCAGGGACTATAGAGCATAGTCCTGCATTGGTAGAAGGGAGGTAGACTGTGTGACCCATGTCTAATTTAAAAAGTTCTCCATTGTGGAGACAAAAGAAGAAAATGAGACTTTCACCTTCTTTGTCTTTCCCATATTTTCTTAACTTTCTTCTCTGTTCTGTTGACATGAAAGGAAAAAAACAGATATTTTGTCTGCCTCTCTTTTCTGTTACTCAGTGGATGAAGCAGATAGGGAAGGCAGTGGCTCTGTTTACTTAGGTCTTCTCATGCTTCAGAATATTATTTTTCTTACTATGTTTAGCAACAAAATGAGCCATTTTAGTCAAAAGTGGAAATATAAACAGTGAGCAAAATCCTGGAAATTTCCATTGAGAAGGCATCCATGGAGCTTTCAAGCAGTAATTTCTAAGTATATCTCTGGTTGTTATTATAATTTGCCCTGACACATCCATTAAGACTGTCATGCATCTGCAGATTTTGCAATAGTACTTCATCATTCTGCTAACAAATCATGTGTCAGAAAAAATTAGATGCGAGGAATGCTTCAGGACATTGTGAAAGTTTGTGTCATTGTGGTACCTATCTTTTTTCTGCATTTGCCAGGATATTTTTTTTTCAGGAATCATTACACATTAGCAGCTATCTGCAATTATTATTATTTCCTTCATAAAAAAGGAAAATTGTTATAGACACTTAAAGCTCAAATAAATGTGTTTTTGTGTGGAAGTGCATGAAGGGAAGAGGAATGAAAATTGCCCATAACTCCTCTATACTGAATCACCCCAAGACCTCAAGTGACTTGTTCTGGGTCACAAGGAGTCATTGGTAGGTGGAGGTAAGAACTCAAGGATCAAATGCAATAATAATAGAGGGGCTGCAAAGTGACTGTAACTTAAACACATAAGGGATGGCAAGGAAAATAATCATACCATAATGCCATTTTATAAGGCAGTGGTTTATCCTCAAATGCTAGCTGACTTCTCAAAAGTGATATAATCAAAGGAGAGGCAGATCAGACAGATGATAAAAGTGGTTTGAGTCAGAGGAACACTTCCATATCAAGATACAGCAAAGAGTAAGGGGTAGCAGAAAATGTATTAGAGATGCAAAAAATACTGAATGGGACATAGAAAAGGCAAATCTGACAACCAGGCAAAACTCTTCTAATTACCCATCCTCTGAATACAAGAGCAGGGGGATATGCAACGAAACTAAAAGGCAGCATTAACCTGTAGCTTCCATTGTGATCAAGAGTTAAAAAAAAAAAAGACCAGATTTTTCTATGGAAAGGAGAACATTCACAGTTAAAGATTTAGATTGTATTAAAACCTCTGCTTCAGAGCATCAGTGAACTTACTTGTACCTTTTCTTGAAGCAATTTGCATTAGACACTGTCAGAAATAGGACAGTATACTAAATAGATATGTGATTTGGTCTGGGATGGTAATTCCAATGTTAATGCTTAGCATGAGTTGTGACATGACAAAATCAGGCAGTGAATTTTGAAACAAGGTTTGTCAACTAAAAAAAGGGCTTATTTTGGTTTAGGTTAGGTTTCCTAACATAAAGGAGAAGTCTCTCCATGCAAGAAGGAGCATCTACTCACAGTCCAGAATGACCTGTGCTGCTCGGTAGAGCTCCAGTCCCTGCAGTAGTTCTAGTAGTTGCTGGACTGTTGCAAGCCTCACTCCCCACCACCACATGAGCTCTCGTGTGATGCTAATTCCCGTCTTCTCCATGCACTTGATTTTCCTCAGCTCTGTCTGATCCGTTATCACATAAGAGGCTAAAGGTAAACAAGAGATATTCATGTTAAAGAACTGGAAAGGAACAAAATAAGTACAAATGGACAAAGCCCAGGTTTGTTACACATTTGGTTTACATTTGCAAATCTATTTAACTTTCCAGTACCCCTAATATTTTGCACCACAGAAAAAACTCATTTGAATTGCTGATGTTTGATTCCACTGAAATTAATGAATACATTCAGTGCAGTTCCTTATGGTAGACAGGTAAAGCTGCTAATTTTTACTGCTGTAGCTGAGCCTAGAGTGAAGCTGGGGCAACCTGCATTGTAATTTGTGTTTTAAAGTGATTTTGCCCGTCTATGCTAGCACCACTGCAGTTGCACTTGTTTGTGGTCACCAGCTGCTGTGGCAACTCCTTTACACTTAATAATTGGGTCTAACTTAGTGAAAGGGAGTTTAAATTATACTGCTTACACATGAACCCTTAATTTTTCATTTGTTCTAATAGTCATTACAGGCAAGTATTTTAATTCACAATCCCCTATTATTGCAGCCCATGTCCTTTCTCAAAACTCCCTCTTTCCAGTAGATTGCAAATTCCAAGCTTCAGGCATCTTCACTATCTTTGATCTGATAAGAGAGGTATCTGATAAGTTTGGGGGATACAGATAAATGTTGGATAACTGGAGATGTGAACATCCAGGGTTTGGCTGATCAGGGCATGCCCATCTTTCTAAGGACATCTCCATGGCTGTATAAATAATCACTTCAGTAGAGAAGAATGCAGTAAGCATACCATGACAAGTGCTGAGTGAAATCAAATGAAGTAAAATAAAGTGAGATCAGCCAAGCAAGAAATCTGGTCAGAGTGGTTCACATCTGAGATTTTTTTTTCAGGTTCTGAGTCATCTCAGTAGAAATAGAATCAAAAGGTAAGAGGTAAATTTGGCATGTTTCCCTAACTGGATAATAAGATTAAGAAAAAAGACAAGTCATGTGGATCAATAAGAAAATATAGAAACAAGGCAAAAAAAGAGGTATAGAATCTGAGAACATAGAGTACGATAAACAGGGTTAGAAAATGGGACCAGAGAAATAAATAATAAGAAAATAGTGGCAACCTGTTCCAAAAATGGATGGGTGGGGCTTAGGGATTGGCCAATCAGATATATTTGTGGGATCAAGTCCTAAATATGTCAGTGGCTCCAATAAATCCAGAAAGCACAAGGAGTTCCTGATACTTAGTCACACTTGTGGAATTCCTGCCCCCTCTCTGCCTCAGGTTACTGTGACCTTCCCTTCCCTTCCCTTCCCGCCTCACTGCCATCATCTTTTATTTCCACTGTTGAGCCCGTGCTCTGTACCCATTAGTCACAATCTCTGGTTGGCAATTTTTGCCCCATTTCTCCATTCTCATTTATATTATTTGTATAGTTTTTTTTCCCCTTAATCATAGTATTATCCAGCTGGTGAAATATGTGACATTTACCATGTCCCTTTAATTGAGACGGAGCTGAACAGAAATCTCCATGTGAGCAAAACTGAACCTGATCCCAGAATATTACAGTTCACTGCCTTGACTTATATCCATCAATCTGTGTTTACACCTCACTCTGTCCTTAACCCTGCCACCCCTTTTCCCCCTCTGTCAGCATGGCTATTAATCAAGATCAGACTTCTCTAGCTGTTCATCCCTCCTTCTCTTGCCATTGTTGCGCCCTTGCTCACCGAATCGCATCCAGTCATAGTCACTCAGGCAGTCCATCTTCTGGCAGAAATCCTCCAGCACCCAGGCAGGCAGGCTGTAAATTCGGAGGGACTGGAGGGAGCTCCCTGTGGACGACAGTGAAAGAGGCTGCAGGTCCATCTCTTTGCTGTCACTTGCCAATGCAGGTGTCGTCCCGTTCCCCCCGCTGGCCATCAACAGCAGCTGTGCATAGCTGCTGGCTGGGGCTGGCTCTCTTTGGGCAAGAGCAGTGACTCTCGTGTGTGTGCGGATGTCTGTTTCCTTTTGCTATGAGGCAAGGAGTCACACTTTGCTAAAGCGTCCTCTCCTTGGGAGGGGCTGAGGCTGGCACTCTGCCCTCCCTATCAGGACCGGCCCTAACCAAGAAGGCGGGTATAAGGAGGCAGGCAGACTCAGCTCAGGCCTCCTTGCTTCCTGCCTGGGTGACGTCAGGTCCCTTCAGCCCCAAAACAAAAGTAGCTTTTTTCTCGCTAAGGTCACTGTTGTTCCAGCCACGTTACTTAGCTACATGCCTGATCTGAATGAGGACAGGGTCTAAGTGTTACACTGCACTTGGTGTTGCCAACAGGTTGCGAAAGAGCTCGATTATGGTAAAAGACACAAGTTTAAGGTAATAACAGGCAGTCAGTGGAACTGTACTTGCTTGCGCTGGTTCAGCTCAGCCGACTGAACTCTCTGTTACTGTGACTGATCTGCATTTATTACAGCAGCTAGAAGCCCCGGGCCTGGACCAAGACCCCCGCTTCATTCAGAGCTGTACAGACACAGAACGCAAAGACAGTCGCTGCCCCAAAGAGCTTACAGTCGAAGCGTAAAGTGCGAGAGGGACAAGGGAGCGCAAAGAAACAATAAGCTGATATTGGACCTGAGTCGCAGCATGCCAGCTGCCTAGCCATTATCAAATTGTTATAGGCTTCATGGCATTAGAGATTTCATTAGTACAGTTCATATTATGGTAGCAAAGCAAAGATCCAAATCGAGATTGACACCCCATTGTGTTAGGTGCTGTTCAAGCATAATAGTAGGAGAGCAGCAGTATAACAAGGCCAAGTATAAAGTAATGAAAAGGTTGGAGAATCAAGAAGGTTGAGACAATGCTATGCCCAGGAACTATTGGTTCTAGCTTTATTTACAATTTATATTTAATGTTAGCCCCATAGATATATAGATATGGATATAGATATATGTTTCTGGATATTATAATCCCCCTTTACCTTCTCTGTTGCATTTACTGACTGTATGTATTGCTTTATTATTTTTTAAATATATTTTTATATATTTTTAAATATGTTTTTATTTTTTAACTCCTTAAAAGTATTTTAGTGTTGCATTGTGTGACATTTTTAAGTATTTTCCCCTGAATTCTTTGTTTCTTAAGTTTACATAGCTCCAGCCTTTCCGGGATATTTACAATGATTGTAACATTGCCTTCATGGCTAGGTACAAACATTCAAAAAGCCTGAGGTCACGTGGTTGTTTGTAAGTGGCATAGTTGATTTAGATCAGTAGCCAACAGAACACACATTTGCCCTTTGGTGGGGGAAGAAAATGTTAGACTGGGTTCTGCCATTTTTTAACGAGTCTGTGCGTGCCAAACTTCTGTTCTGTTATGGGTATAAACTGGTTTCCAATCACTTATACTGGTAAAAGTATAATGTCTGTACCTGGCCCATGTGGTTGCATTGACTATCTGCATTCACTGCTCCAGTCCTGTAAAGTCACCTACCTGGGCAATTTTTTATACTTTCAGAGAACCTCACTCCCTCCTGATTGAACAGCTTATATAATACAGAAAAATATACATATACGTATGTAAATTTATATCCTTTCCTTTCCCTATTCTTTATATTCATATTTAACTCTAATATTTTCTCTTCATTTTAAATATTACTATAGATACTTTAAATTGACTGTTCTTTTACTTTGCCTATATTTTAAGTGATATTGCCATGCTCATAATTTTATCATAAGCCTGACAATCTTTAATTGCTATCTGATAGCTCCTGGATGTGGAGTCATGTGAATCTTACCTTTCATTAAAAACATAATTAAGTTTCCTGCCTTCATGTGCATGAAAAAAAGCTGGAAAAATGTGCCCAGAATGTAACCTAAAAACCAGAGAGCAAAGAAAAGCCACCACAAATGGTTCACTATTAAAATATCATGATTTTCAAGCTAGTTGCATGATGTGCACGTGGGAGAGGGTGAGGGTTAGGCAATACTGATGTTATGATGATTAAATAATGATGCAGTCCATTCCACTCTCTCTCTCTCTTTCATATATGTGTGTGAGAGAGACAAAGACAGGGTTTCCCAGCCAAGAGATAGCAGCCCTGGACCTTTTATAAATTACTTAAAAAAGGGAGTTGGGAAGGAGACCTTTGCAGGCCATGGGACTTAGAAGCCAGGGTTGAGAGACCTTTGGGGCTCATTGCCTCACAGGGCAAGCTAGGAAATAAAATAATAAATTTTACTCACCACTGAAATGTGTCTACCTCTGTGAGGGAATGTGGCTTTGACTTGGTACTAGCCTCTTTGTACAACTGGGTACTTTGGCAAGCAAACTGAAGAATATTTTTTCAGGCTGAGACTATGAATTACTTTGCATGTGTTGGGATCACATTTTGTAATGCTTTAAAGTAATGGCATAGTATAAAGTATATTACTCTTCTCAGTCCCTTGGACAGTCACCATGAGGAACTTAGTAAGAGTAATTAACATTTCTGTAGTGCCTTTCAATTCCAAAAATTCAAATGCCCTTTATTAATATAGGGACCATTTCACCCAAGGCTGCAGTGCAACCACATCTCAAGGGGGAGATTGCAGCAGCTGTATAGCAACATGCAGCCAAATCGGGACTATTTAAATTAAGAAATTAAGACACCTTGAGCATAATATTTTAATTGGTTCCTTGAAATCCTCTGCAAAATCCATTACTAGTAAAAATTAATCATCTCATATAAAATGATAATGAATATGTGACTTCAAGTAGGTGGAAATGTGGGAGGTCAACTTTAAGACACAAAATTATTATTATTTATAAAATTATTGTGTGTCCAACTGAAACAGCAGGAAATTTCAGGAGATCAAATGTAATTACCTCTGCTGGGATTTGGTCATGACTTATGTTGGTTTAAAAGATTTGCTTTGTTATTGAGTGGTTGGCAGCCATTCAGTATTTCAAACCTAAGTGCCCCAGCTATTAAGGGAAAGTCTAGTAGCAGAACTTCCAGAGGAACTGGATCCTCTCAAATCATTGTTCTTCTGCAGTCACTCAACAGTAGTTTCAGTTGTGTCATTGTCTTTTAAAGTAGTGAAATTACGAGCAGAATTGAGAAACACCTTCTTTCATTTCATAGCCATGGGAGTTACAGCATTTCATTCATTACTGAACTGGCTGAGTAACTGAGGACTGAAAGGCTCCATATACAATTACCAATTTACAGAGCTGAGGGGAAGGGGGACATCCTTAGTTTTATGTTCTCATATATACAGGCTTACTTAAATATTTTTCTGACACATCTTGCAGTTGATGTCAAATGATGTTACTTATCATTGTACAACATGGTCATATCCCATATGAAAATGTAATTTTGATCAAACTGATGTCAGTATATATGGCTAATATGTGCTTTATGTATCCAAGCTGAAAAATATCACCTCAACCAGCACAGGAAATTTATTTTCCCAACAACTTCCGTATATTTGAAGTTTAAAACAAATAATGAGGCCAAGAGCTTAGGTAACAACTGAAATTGATCTAAAAGGAGGACTATTACAAAATACGCCACTTGTAATTCCAATGACAAACAACACATGGGAGAGGCAGGAATTTTTGTGGCATATATTTTTCATTGGGCCAACTTGATGGTTGGGATAGAATGACACTGGCAAGCTTTTGGGTATCACAATACCCTCTTGCCTCTCACACATTTATTCTTATGCCAGACTGTTTCCACGTGTGGCAGGGCACTGTTGGTGCTTGCCACTTTAAGAGTGGAGCCAAGCAGCCAGCAGGTGCTTATTGCGGTGGCCATTTTAGATCTCTGGCCGCCTATATAAAGAGGGCAGTTCGCTGCTGGCAGTGCAGGTAGTAACGTTTTCTGGCTGTAAGGCTCCATGCAACATCCTGGAGGTAAGGGCAGAAGCTGTAGGGGATGATAAGGAGGCTCCTGGTCCTGGGCATGACCTAAAACTGCACCCTGCTGGGAGTGGGTGGCTTGGTGGGGCTCTCAGTGGTGCAGGAGCCCCCAGGAAATGTCAGGCCAGTTTTATCACCCCGGTGAAAGGCAGGTAGGGGTGCCTTAACTCTAGCCCTTGCCTTTTGGGTGGGTTTTGTAACATTGGAGGGAGTGGCGCCAGTCACGGCTGTGACCACCTGAGCCCTGTGGGGTGCAAGACCCTGAGGAGCGAGAGTTGGGGCCAGGCACAGCTGTGGCCATCTGGGGCTGTGGGGTGTAGGACCCTGAGGAAAGGTAGCTGGGGCCAGGCATGGCTATGGCCACCTGAGCCCACTGGGGAGAGAAGCCCCATAGCCCCAGTGAAAGAGGCGGTGTGGAGCCCCAGTGAGGGGAGTAGGCCTAGGTATGTCTTCGGATGTCCAAGGCTGTAGTTTGGGCCAGAGGCTGAGTAAGGGGGCCCAGTCTGAGAGAGAGGGGCAAGTCCTGACCCTGGCAAGTCCCCCACTGCTGGGAGGCCAAGCGTGGCCAATGGCAGGAGGGATAATACATTATCCCACAAAAATGAACATTCGTCCCTGTCATGGTGCGGGGCAAGACCTGTAGTGTGCACAATGACCTGCTGCTCCGGGGGGTGGAGTGAGAGTCCCCGTGAGACCCTGGAACACCAGTCGTGGTGTGAGTTAAGAATGCCCCAGTGAGGGGTGGCTCTAGGAAGGGGGAAGAGAGGAGGGACCCCTATACGTGTGAGCATATAGAGTTGCCCCGGAAGGGGCCAGAGCAAGCTTAGACCGGGTTGGGTAATTGGCTAGCCACTACCCCGGTGAGGGTCGCAGGAGAGGCCCAAAAGACGGTATGTCTGCCACCCAAGGTACGAACTAGATAAAGCCTATGGCCAAAGGAGCCCGCTCCAAGAGGGTGCAAGGCAGAATAAGCTGTCGATGCATGAAAGAGACCCTGTGAGAGAGAGTAGAGTGTGAGAGGCTCTAGTGAGAGGAAGGCGGTATAAATGTGTGTGACCTGAGGCCTGATGACGAGGCCTAAGCTTGGTCCGGCTGTAAGCCAGGAACAATGTGTCATCTGGATGCATCTGCAAGGCTTGGGTTGTGGTGCAGGGGAGGA